ATGAGTAGCTGGGGCAAGAGATGATGCTGAGTGTGCTACCATTCATTCCACACCGATGACAGCCATCTGCAGAATGGCTAAAAATGGAGCGACCTGCCCCTTTTCCCCAGGCCTAATGTGGCTTTGCTTTCTAAGCTTCCTAGTCTCGAGCTGCCTGGGAGTCCAGGTGTGAAGTCTGATGAAACATGATGTGTTGCCATCCCATCCAGCAGCTTCCTTGCATGACCTTGGTCATCTGAATCAAAGGGACTAAGATGTGCTGCAGAAGAAGTTACTGAATGCTATTCCACATGTGGCAGATGGGATCTTTAAGAGGGAGCATTAGGGAAGTGGATATAAGCCCAAGTTCATATTCCAAAGCCACAGGCATGCTGTGGCAAAGCCGTGACCTGAGACTGCTCATGGGAGGGTCCTACAATGGACACCAAACAGCTCTAGCAGAGTCCCGCTGCTGCCCCATCCAAGGACGACTTGAGTGGACAGATGGCTTGGGATGTGCCATTTCTGAACCCAGCTCAATGGGAGGGTGTTTAAAACAACAAGGACATTTGAACCATGTCCTACTCTTCCTTAAAGCTGAGCAATCTGCTCTCTCCTTTACTGGGATTCTCAAGTGTGATCTAGAGCTCGGGTCTCACATGGTGTATGGTGTGCGTGCAAAGGGAGGCCTCCGGGTTCAACATGCAGCACTAAGCATCTCTTCCACAAATCAGATTGGCCATTTCCTAAACCTTGCTTTTATCAGGGTCATGTTTTGGCAAATGTGGGTTCCCCAAAGCTAAACCTTTCAAAGACCACTGATGTTCTGTCTCCAGGGCAGAGCAGAATAATCACCTTCCTAGAGTCCTAGAACTTGGTGTCAAAAGAAACAACAGGGAACCTTTTATGGTATCTATTCCTCAGCTCTGGTGCGTGATTACATCTCAACCCTCCTGATGAGAATATCATTCCCTTCCCTCTGAGAAAGCCCTATTTAATTGCGCTTCTATTTGAGGGTAACTTTAACCAATGGGAGCTGTAGGGATTTTTCCGCAGTTGAATAGAACACTCACTTTGGCCTCCAGGGAGTTTAGTGTCCAGTGAGGGATACAGACAGGACCAAACAGAAATACCACAAAAGAATAAATGGAGGCTGGAGGGGCTGGGGCGAGCAAGAGCTGAGGTGCCTGGCTTTCAGATGACAAACTTGGCTCCAGTGTAACCGGGCTGTCCTGTTAAGTGTGATTCCAGTGGGCTCCAGGATGTCACCAAGGCCAGGAGTTTTCATCTTGCTGCAAATGACTCAGACTTTCCTGGAGAGCTCCTGGGTCTCTGTCATATCACGAAGAAGCCTGGCTTATTTGGGTCCAACTTCTGATGGGTCATAATGCTGTGAAACATTATAGGCCTTTGGTAAGCCTGAGATCCCGTGCTGCACACACTCCTCCCCCAGGGCTGAGAGGCTGGGACTGGTTAATCTGTAAAATCAATACTCTCCTCTAGAGTAAAGACATATATCACTCTGGGGTAGCCCAGAGCAGCCAAATGCCAGATGACTCCTAGAGAATGTGAGAGTAGATGAAACTGTTCCAGGTTGTTAGGTATTGAATTCTATGCCCCAAAATTGTAAGTCCTATGAATTTCCATTGTGTTGACATGGCTTCCATGCTGAATGGTGTCTCTCCCCAGTTTTTAAGGTCTAATGAATTTGGAATTCCCAGTACCTCAGCATGTGACCTGATTTGGAAATAGGGTTGCTGCAGATGTAATTATTTACAATGCAGTCATTAGGGTGGGGCTTCGTCCAATAAGGCTGGTGTCCTCTATTAAAAGGGGAAATTTGGATACAAAGACAAGCTCACAGGGAAAACATCATGTGAAAACAAAGGCATGGAACTAAACAGGATGACCGAGGAGTGCCAGCAAGCCACCCCGAGCTGTGAATGAGGCATGAACAGATTGTTCCTCGCAGCACCCAGAAGGAACTCACACTGCCAACACCTTGGGCTGGGACTTCTAGTCTCCACAACTGTGAGACAACAAATTTCTACTGCACAGGGCACAACAAATACCCAGTTTGTGGTACTTTGTTATGGCAGCCCTAGCAAATGAATACATCAGTGTTCAGCTCATGTCTTTTTTTTTTTTTTTTTTTAAGCAGAGTCTCACTCTGTCACCCAGGCTAGAGTGTGTGGTGCAATCTTGGCTCACTGCAACCTCAGCCTACCAGGTAGCTGGGATTACAGGTGCCTGTCACCATGCCCAGCTAATTTTTGTATTTCTTTTTTTTTTAAGTAGAGACGAGGTTTCACCAATGTTGGTAAGGCTGGTCTCAAACTCTGACTTCAGGTGATCTGCCCGCCTCGGCCTCCCAAAGTGCTAGGATTATAGGCGTCAGTCACCTCGCCCAGCCTATCAGCTCATGTCTTTATTCAGCCAATATACAAGGTTCCAGGCAGTGGGCTGGAAGCTGGGAATACAGTGGCATATGACTGTCTCCTAACAGCTGTTCTCTCCTCAGAACAATTTTTTTTTTTTTTGAGATGGAGTCTCGCTCTGTCATTCAGGGTGGAGTGCAGTGGCACATCTCGGTTCACTGCAAACTCCGCCTTCCAAGCTCAAGCAATTCCCTGCCACAGCCTCCCGAGTAGCTCGGATTATAGGTGACCGCCACCATGCCCAGCTAATTTTTGTATTTTTAGTAGAGATGGGGTTTCACCATCTTGGCTAGGCTGGTCTTGAACTCGGGACCTCGTGATCCACCCACCTCAGCCTCCCAAAGTGTTGGGATTACAGGCAAGAGCCACTGCACCCAGCCAGTATTAGAACAATTTTTAACTGGGCTCTTGTCTATCCAGAAAAAAGATTCACTTCCCAGCCTCCCTGGCAGCTAGCTGTGGCCGTATAACTAATCTTGGGCCAATGGGATGGAGGTGAAAAAGGTGCATGCAAATTCCAAGGGAAAGCCTTCAGGAGAGGGCATATTGTGCTTCTTCCCCACGCTCCTTCCTGCCAGCTGGGGCCCTGTTCCCTGCTGTCTGGGACCATGAGGATGGAAGCGATGCTCAGCAGAGCAGCCCATAGGAGGAGTCTGATGCTGTGGAGTTGCCACATCAGCCCTAAACTGCCTACTGCAGAGACTTCATACAAGAGAGAAATCAATTCCTATCTTGCTTGTAACATGGTTATTTAGGGTCTCGTACTGGCAGAACTTAGTCCTCATCGACAAGGTAGGCGTGCATTTCCTATGCTCACATTCTAGCAAGGAAGGCATACCTTACAAAAAAAAAAAAAAAAAAATCGCAAACATGGGGAGTTCACACAAAGGATGCATAGGATGCTATGGAGAGCATGTCAGGGAGTAAGCCCATCTGGTCCAAGGGGTCTAAGAAGACTAAGGAAGTACGTTTGAGGCTGGTGGAATGGTTTGTGGGAAGCTGTGGCTGGGAAAGCTAGGTTAAAATGGGCAGGGCCTCGAGGAAGCCTAGAGAAAAGGATGTTATTCATTTTAACCTTGCTGGGACAAATTCACTACATTGCAAAAACAAAATAAAAGGTGTTAACTGGACTGTGCTGATTTAATTAGTAGAAAAGACCAAAGAACAGATGATTAGTGGTCGCTGGGGTATCTTAATCTGTGTGCAAGTTAACAGTAGGAATTCGTTTCGCTTCCATTCAACTTTCTGAACCGTGAATGTCCCGGGGGTTAGGGGCTGCCGCTAGGTTGAATGTGTCAAACCTCATTAAAACAAAGCTTAAAAAGTCAAATCCACAAATATTCACTGAAACCTGCTGTGTGCAAGGTATTTAGGCCAGAGATTCTGGCGGATGTTAAAGACGTTTCGTCTAAGATCATCGACTTCAGGGTGCCTGCAATCTAGCTGTGAAGACAAGGACAAAAATCGAGTGCAAACCACAATATATGAGTTAAAGAACCACCACCACCATAGCAACAAAAAAGGAAACTGTCACAGAATGGAATTAAACATGAAATGAGTGTGTCTACCAGGTCGGAGGGCCTGTGATGAGCTCACGGTGAGGAGAGGCCACGGGGAGCGGCAAGTGGTGTGCCAAGGCTCCATGGAAGAGGGGTCTGGAATAGCACCTTGAAGATAGGTAGGACACAGGTGGACAGGGAGGGAGGAATATGAGGGCAAAGGCATGGGGCAAGCAGGTAGAGACTGGTGGAGAGCACTCAGATTCATGTGCAAAAGGGATTTTTAATCATTACTATGTTATAAAATTTGATCTTAAGTTGTTAAGACAAATCAAGTAAACTCATGAGGAAAAACTCATGATCTTATGTTGTTAAGACAAATGAGATCAAGTAAGCTCATGAGAAAAAAAACCATGAAGCAAATCCTATAATATGAGATATATGACTCAATCTTACACCATAGCAACCAACTTGAATTTGCTAAACTTACTTTTTAAAAACTCCTCTTTCTCCAGAAAGCGCACACATTCTGTTTCCCAGCTGAAGAATCTTTGTATGCTGCTATGGTCTGGATGTTGACGTCCTCCCAAAATTCCTATGTTGGAGCCTAATGGCCCCTGTGATAGTGTTAACATATGGGGCCTCTGGGAGGTGATTAGGTCATGAGGGCTTCTTCCTCACTAATGGGATTCGTGCACTTGTAAAAGAGGCCTGAGGAAGCTTGCCCGCCTTCCTCGGACAGGAATGATGGTGCTTTCTAGCTTCATCCTCTTACGGCGGAAGCTTCTACCCTTTGTCATGTGCGGATGCAGCTAGAAGCACCATCTATGAAGAAGGGGGCCCTCACCAGACACCAGTCTTACCTTGGACTTCCTGGCCTCCAGAACTGTGAACAATAAATTTCTATGGTTTATAAATTACCTAGTCTAAGGTATTTTGTTATAGCAGCAGGAATGGACTAAGTGGACCAAGAAACATGAGGTGTGTATTAACAGATTTCTGCACAGGCTCCTGTCAAAAAATGCAGTGAGGGGCTGGATGCGGTGGCTTACACTTGTAATCCCAGCACTTTGGGAGGCCCAGGCAGGTAGATCTCTTGACCCCAGGAGTTTGAGACCAGCATGGCCAACACAGTAAAACCCCATCTCTAAAAAAGAAAAAAACACGCACCGAGGAACCTGAAATTCATCTTTGTCAAGTTACTACTTTTTTGCATTTTATATGTGTATGAACATGAGAAAGGTTTTTACAAATTGATGGCAGATGTAAACATCTAAATGTCACCATGTACTTCCAGTTTCTGCAAACCTTAATTCGGAATCCTCACCTGCAGGAACAGGTTAAAGCCCTTTGGGTGCTGGTCTTCCAGGGCTCCTCTCTACCCTGACCCAAAACAGGTTCAGCAGGCAGGCTTCACTGTTGCCCACTGACAGCTCCCCATAGACTGGAGAGCCAGAGAGCTGCCCCTCCCTGCCGCCATCTCTACTTCACAGCGCCCATTCACACACTTACTTTCATTTCATTTTAATGCCAGCCTGGTGCAGGAGGTGCTAATATCTCTATTTAACAGATGAGAACATGAGGCTCAGCAGGCTTAGAAACCAGTGATTTCGCGTTTCAGCTGTGGGAGCCAGAGCTAGTTACTGGCCTTGCTTCTCCATGCTGGAATGTATCAGTATTTAGTTCTAAGCTGTTTTTCTTTAACCTTATACATAAAGCTAAAAGGAACGTAGAAAGAGCACATAGTCCACTCCCATTTATCTTGGCACAAACAACTTTCAGTGGATCATACTGAAAAGAGAATGGGTCAGAAAAAAATTATGACCACAAATATCTATATATATCCATGCGTTAAATACAAGTAATAAGCAGCATAAACTGAAATTACTACACGGGGTGGTAAAAATGATCTCCCCAAATTTGATGTGTGTGATAGGTGGGAATACACTGCCCAAAAAAGGGGACAAAAAGCCTCAGCAAGGAGGACAGCATCCTGTGTGGAGGTGGGTACTGAGCAAAGCTACAGCCCCCTATCTGCGAACTCAAGGGGAGGTGTGTGGCAGGGCCTATGCACTTCACGAAATTCTAGAATTCTGTAAACACTGGTCTACAGGTTCCCAAGAGAAGGCAGACATATATGCTGGTGGGTGGGATAGAAGCAAACCTGTTAGGTGCCGAAAGTTATTCACATTTGCAAAATTAATAATTGACTATCCTCTGAAGTCTACCTTCAGAGTAGGTACTGCTTATTTCTACAAAGAGAGAACATGTGACCGTCTGGGTTTCTAGTTAGGCTACCTCATGGGAGGGGCAACACCAAGTGAACACAAACCTGCCCCACCTCGAGGTGCAACTTTCACAGGAACACACATGCCAGGGACCCCCAGGTAATTCAGACTGGCTGGAGGTGTTCACTGCTTCAACCTCTGTTTTCTTAGGAGGCCACAGGAGCAGAAGGCAACCCACAATGGTTTGGTATCTGAGGCAGTTCTGGCCTCAAACTTGGACAGCGCTGGCAACTGCCCTGAACCCTCTCCTCCCACTTGTCTAGGCTGCTGCCCTAGGTGTGAGAACTGCCCTGATGAGGCAAATAGCTAAAGCCTCAGCACCTGCAGGAGCAGGACTGGGAGACTCTTGTCTTGAATTTCCCAGATGCTTTGCTAACAGTAGAAGCAACTTCAGACAAATGAAGGACCAAAGGAATGAAGGGCATTGAGAAGAATGGAGATCTGGAAGGCCATCTTTCTATTTTCATGCCTCTGGTGCCTGGAGATTCCTTTCACTTAAGATAGCAGGAGCCCCCTCTTTTTGTAGTTCAGGTAGAAGGTAGGTGTTGTCCCCCTTCCGGGCATTTTTTCCCTAGTCTCTGGATAGCCAAGCTAACTCCCTCAGCATGAGTAGGATGGAGCACCTCCCACCAAACATAGAGATGGGCAGGGGGCCTTGACTGACCAGAGGATCCCCCATTCCTCATCACAGTGATTGGCCCAGGGGAAGGCACATGACCCTAACTGGCCAATAAGAGGAGCCTGCTTTTTCACACTCCCTGCTAAGAGGGCAGGGTGCAGCCCTGGAGCGGCCATCTTGCCTAGCTCTCAAGATAACGCCTCTAAGGTAGGAGAGAAATGAAAAAACAGTACTGAACGTGCCGGAGGTTACAGGCACCAGTACATTCCACTCCACCTTTATGTTTTTATTTTTTGCTTAAGCTAATTTGGAAGGTTTCTGTCAATTACAACTGAAAAAATTCTAACCAATACAATCTCACTTTCCTGTTCCCAGTCAAGAAATTATCATAAGAAAGTACAGGAAATTCTTCACGCTCATGACTCGGTTGATGTTAATGCTGTTGGAAAGCAGCACAGATTTTTTTAGGAAGAAAAATTGCCAAGATAAACATTTTCTTAAAAATTCTAGCACAGGCCAGGGGCGGTGGTTCACACCTGTAATCCCAGCACTTTGGGAGGAAGAGGTGCGCGGATCACCTGAGGTCAGGAGTTTGAGACTAGCTTGGTCAACATGGTGAAACCCCGTCTCTACTAAAAACACAAAAATTAGCCGGGCGTGGTGGCGGTTGTCTGTAATCCCAGCTACTGGGGAGGCTGAGGCAGGAGAATCACTTAAACCCGGGATGCAGAGATTGCAGTGAGCCGAGATCCCACCACTGGACTCCAGCCTGAGCAATAGAGTGAGACTCCATTAAAAAAAAAAAAAATCTAGCACATCTATAAGCTATATTTTAAATGTTATATTTTTCCCAAATAAGTCCTGCAAATAAAACTTATCCTTGAGGAGGTTGAGACTGGGACCTGCTTTAATCATCTTCACTTCCAGATTCCATTCAAGCAGAAATCAATTTTCTGGTTTACTCAACCAGACTGTGTTTATTAATTCTTTTTCTGCTCCCCTTGGAATTTCAAACTATTGGCTTAGTTTTTAACTAATTTCTTAAATGCTAAAACAATTGGAATGATTCCACAGCATTTGCAATGCTGGTTTGAGGGCATAGTCTATGCCACAGGTCTGATATTTTGGAAGTTTTAAAGGTGACTGAAACAGACAGACAGTGTAATGTCATTTGTATCTGTACAGACTCCTGTTTATCTAATTCTTTCCTTATTCTTTTTAGGCCTGTCAGGTTTTAAGAAATACAGAAACACCCCAAAATATTTCTGACATCAAAGAAACACATTTCTTTGTTCCCACTATTGAGAAAGTGTGTTTCTCATATTTTCACTGTAGATACAACTAAGAGAAACAATTACTGCAAAGAATCTACTTAGTAAATCACTGGAGACCCAAACATCATACGAATGACTGAGTCCTAATTAAGTAGCAGTAAGTGGGACTATTTTTATTTAAATAACAAAGTGTTTTCATCTTAACCATATTGATGGCTCTTTTCCTCAAACACTGCCTGTTTTCTGGTTTTAAAAATTCTATTTGAGCCTATAATCCCAGAACTTTGGGAGGCCGAGGCGGGTGATCACTTGAGGTCAGGAGTTCGAGACCATTCTGACCAACATGGTGAAACCCGTCTCTACTAAAAAAATACAAAAATTAGCCAGGCGTAGTGGCGCCTGTCTGTAATCCCAGCTACTCAGGAGGCTAAGGCAGGAGAATGGCTTAAACCCAGGAGGTAGAGGTTGCAGTGAGCCGAGATCGCACCACTGCACTTCAACCTGGGTGACAAAGAGAGACTCCATCTCAAAAAAAAAAAAAAAAATTGTATTTTGAGGCCAGGAGCAGTATCTCACGCCTATAATATCCCAGCACTTTGGGAGACCAAGGCAGGAGGATCACTTGTGGTCAGGAGCTCGAGGCCAGCCGGGCCAACATGGCGAAACCCCGTCTCCACTAACCATACAAAAATTAGCCAGGCATGGTGGTGGGCACCTATAATCCCAGTTACTTGGGAGGCTGAGGCAGAAGAATTGCTTGAACCCGGGAGGCGGAGATTGCAGTGAGCAGAGATCACGCCAATGCACACCAGCCTGGGCGGCACTGCAAGACTCTGTCACAAACAAACAAAATTATATTTTTATATACTGTGAAACCAATGGGAGAGAAAGAAATATAAGCAATCACCCTTAGTCACTGTGTCTCAGCAGAGCCATTAAAAGAATTTTAATGCATTTCCTATTCTTCGTACACATGATTTTTCTTACATTATTTTAATCATAATACTCATCTCAATTTGATCCTGCATTTTTTCACTACACATGAGATCATAAACATTTCTGGTGCTATTTTTATAATTTACACAATCATTGTTTAAATGGCTGCCAAATATTTTTTGAGTGGATACATAATATTCTCTTAAAATGATTTCCCCTCTGCTGTTAAATTGTTGCTGCTATTATCTTGCTATTACAAATTATACCTTTTTAAAAAATTAAAACTCTTATAGCCACATTTGGACAAATTATCCCTTGATTATATTTTAGTATAGATGAATATTTCTGTATTTAAGATGATTACTTTAGGCAGGTTTTCTCAAGGTAGAATTTGTGAGTGAAAAGGCAGTTTTTATACATTTATACATACTGCCAAACTGCTTTCAAAGGGTCGTATTAGTGTATACTCCCACCAGCAATAGACAAGAAAAGGACTGAGTCGCTAGAGCCTCCATGCCAAGTAGATATTGGTGGTGGTGGGGAGGGGTGGTCTTTAGAAAAATAAAATCTTCCTTACTCTTCTTTATTCTAATGGGAGTAATAAGTAGTCATAAAAAAAGTACCCTCTATATGTTCAAAGAAGTAGTGCAGAATATCTGATATCCTTAATGCCCACATTTTGAAACACATTCAGGAGGGAATAAAATCATGCAGTTTTTGGTAGATCAAGAGACTTAGGTCACTTATGAAAGCAATGAAATCAATTAAAGGGGAGGAGTGAGGGCAGGAGAAACTACAAATGAAAGTTGTCCATTGCCCAGTTCTCTTGTCTGAAAATAATTAGGATTTGTTTCTCTTTAAATGATGTATGAGTGAGCTGCACCTTTTGATCTTGGGATTTGTGAGGCTTGGTCCTTATCCAGGAGCTAAAAGTGAATGGTGTCTGGTAGAAGTTTTCAATACAATGTTTTACTGTGGGTAAAAGAAAAATGGCCCTTTTGACTTATGGTAGAACATGTCCTTTGTCATCTACCCCAAAAGGCACATGTAGATACTCTCCTCACAGACTTTCTTCTGGGGGGGAAAAAAAAATGATGCTGATCCATCATCAATGATTAGTTCAAAAGTAACTGAATAATTCACATTGGTAATGTGAAGATTAAAAGCCATTTTCCAATCAAAGTCCATACCAGTTGTTTCTCCTGATAGCCACCTACACTTGGAGACTAAATGTAATTCACCTGAATCCCTGACACAAAGAAGGCTGCATGTTTTGTTTTGAAACAAGTGAGAATAGTGTCTCTATACCGAGAGGCCTTCGAGCACATAAGATCCTAGAGCATTTTTTAATTCAAACTTCATGACTTTGGATAACTAAGTAGTAATCTGCCATGCCTTCGTATGTCACTATTCATTTTATCATAGGTTAACCTTTGAGATTTGGTTGTTGTTTGTTTTTGAGATGGAGTCTCGCTCTGTCACCCAGGCTGGAGTGCAGTGGCATGATCTCCACTCACTGCAACCTCCGCCTCTCAGGTTCGAGCTGTTCTCGTGCTTCAGCCCCCCACGTAGGTGGGATTACAGGTGTGCACTGCCATGCCCAGCTAATTTTTGTATTTTTAGTAGAGACGCAGTTTCACGGTGTTGGCCAGGCTGGTCTCAAACTCCTGACCT